TGCCCGCAGACCTCACGCTGGCCACCACCCGCCCCCGCATCAACCCGGAAAACCCTCACGACCTCAACGGCCACCACGGCGTGACGGTGACCGAAGGGCAGTCCAACCTGGTGCAGAGGTGGGTGCGCGGTTACGAGAAAGAAAGAAGGAACGAACGAAAGAAAGAAAGAATACGCCCTTGAACGTGGATTGAGGCGGCGGAGCGGCGGCGGCGGGGCGGCAGGGGCGGCGGCGCTCGGCCCTGCGCAAGGGCGGCGCACAGCGGCGTCGCTGCCGCGCGCCCAGCGCTGCCGCGCCTCCAAATGCCTCACTCGCAACTCGCTTGCCTGCCCTACCACCACCACCACCACCTCCACCGCGCATGCACGCACACCTACCTCAGCAGCCTTCCCCGCCGCTCCCCGCCCGCCCATGCCCATGCGGTACCGCAGGCTGTACGTGCCCAGCCCCGTCATCCACGACATCACCGTCACAGCCGGCTCCTCCATGAACGTGGTGCAGAACAGCCGGGGCGCCAACCTCAACCTGGACATGCACAGGCGAGCAAACGCTGCGGCGCCGTGCGGTTGTCTGTGTGTGTGTGTGCGCGTGCGCGCGCGCGCGTGGTGGTGGGCTGGGGTGGGGTGGGGTTGCTTGAGGGACAGCGAGAAGGCGGGAAGGGGGAGGGTGCTGGTACTGCTCAGGGCTGCTCAGCACGCTCCGGGCTGACCGCGGCGGCGCTTGCAAACGTGCGGCCGCCCGGTTGCCCTCCCCGTGCGCTGTGCCCGGCGCGCACTTTTGGCCGGCACATGTGCTACGACTGACGGGAGCCATGCTGGGGACACTCGGATGTGCTGCAGGACCGCCCCCTTCAACAACCTCTTCACCAACCTTAACATGGGCGCCGGCAGCCGCCCCTTCCGCTCCGGCGGCCGCTCCGACCGCGGCGCCAAGTCGGGTGGGTGGCGCACGGGAGCTGGACTGCGGCTGCTGCTGCTGCTGCTGCTGCTGCGCCGGGCAAGACGGCGTAGAGCAGCGGCCCAACGCCCCGAGCATGCTGCCCCTGCCAGCCTCGCCTTGGTTGCCCTGCGTTTGTCCTGCACCCTGCCACCCACCTGCCCCCTGTTGACCCACACATCGTGCTGCTGCCTGCGCAGGCCGCGGCAACACATACTGGGGCCTGCACTCCAACAGCGGGCGGGCGCTGTTCCTGCCGGGCTGCGATTTTGGGCCGTACCTCAATTTCGTGGGACGGTACCGCGGCTTCCCGGTGGGTCCTCTCGTGCCATAGCATGCGACCACAGCATACAGCAATGATCCCCTCTTGATGGCTGTGCATCGCTGGCTGCACCGCACGCCCAGCTGGGCCTGACTGGGCCTGCCAGGCAGCAGCAGCCAGCTCCCCAACATGCCGGCGCCGCCGCCGCTCCCCCTGCACCTGCAGTGCCCCGGCAAGTCTTGGCTGGTGCAGGGGCTGGGCGGCAGGCCCCGCAACCTGTACCAGGCGCAGAGGTATAGAGGCTGAAGCCCACAGGCCTTCCACCATTCTCTCACCAGGAGCCATGGACGGGTGGCAGTGCTCCCGCCGCCTGCATAGACGTGTCCACCTCTACGGGTTTACATGAGTGGCTCTTTCCACCTGGCCGCCCCGCCTGCTTCCTGCGCATCACCAATTCTTGCACCACGACTCATGACTCACTTCTCCAATTCATTGAGATATGTCACAGCTTTTGGTGCCCTGCCAGGCACCTGCCTGGCACCCCGGTGTTGGTACCATCGGTACCATCCAGCGCCGCCTCCCCCGTATGACACCCATTCATCTGTTTCCCGCGCAGCCGGATGCATGCCACCAAGATCCAGCATCTGTAAATGCCTGCTCACCTCCAGCTGGCTGCCGAGAGTTACACTGCACGCGGGGGCGGTGCGGCAGCCAGCCCTTCGGGGACACAGTTCAAATCACCTAGAGACAGGCAAGCTGGATCAGCTCAGGCCAGTCCAGTCCAGTGCGGTGCTGGAGATAGTAAAGCAATTTCTACTAGAAAGGGTGCATCATCAGGGCGTGGTGTTTTGGGCCAGGCGTAAACCCTGCGGGCGCCGCGTCACGCCAAGCAAGATCCCTTCTTGGTGCCCCGCTGCTGGCAGCGTGTACGAGGCAGCTGGTTGTGCACGCTGCATGAGATTGCATCTCGCAAGTGGGCCTGCAAGAGGGAAACAACACCCGCCCAGATCTGTCAGGCAACACACCGTCGCTTAGCGACGCAGGGGCGGCTACCAGCCCTGGTTCACACACCCATTTCCCTCACCTGCTGCTCTCCAATGCCTCAGCGTTTGCCCTGGGCCACGATCCGGATCTCAGAGTCGATTTTTCACGCATACAGGGTAGTAACCATAATCCCCCTCAAAGTGGAAGTACGCAGCATGCTGGGGTGGCAATCGCCACCGCCAGTCTGGCGTCCTCTTCACAAACTGCCATAAGCTCTGTGATAAGCAGGCAAGGTTACACTGCGTGAGGTTCCCAGCATCACACGCCGCGCACGCAGCCGGCACACACCAAAGCGCAGTCACCAGCGCCCGCCTCTGCCGCGGCCTCGCCCGTGGGGCGCCGGCACCCCGCCCCACCCCTGCGGTGGCGGCCGCGGGTGCGGGCCTCGCCACTGCTGCGGGCCGGGGGGGGCGCCCCGTCCAGGCCCTCCCCACCCAGGGCCGGGGCCCGGCCCTCCATGCCAAGGGCCTCCTGGTGGCGGCTGCTGCGAAAAGGGCGGGCGGGGGTGGGGCGGGTGCGGCGCCACCATGTCGCGCGGCGGCCGCCCCGGCAGCGGCAAAAAGGCGCCCTTGGCGCCCGGTGGCGGCTCCCGTCCCTCGTGCCGCGCCCGCTGTCGCGCCGGCGAGCACGAGCGCGACCGCTGCCGCTCCTGCTGCTGCTGCTGCCGGGCGTCGCCGCCGCCGCGGTCCCGAGAGCGCGAGCGCTTGCCGCCGCGACGGCGCTCGGCCGATCGCTCGCGCTCGTGCCCTCGCCCCTCATGCCGCCGCCCGCGGTCCTGCTGCTGCTGCGCGCCAGCTGGCGCCACGTCAGCGGGCGACCGCCCGCCTCGCTCCTCGTACGGCGTCTGCCGGATGGCAAAGACGTCGATGGGGGCCGCGGGGCTGGCCTGGGGCAGCACCGGCATGGCAACGGCGTCCCCAATGCCGGGGATGGCGCCGCCGGCGCCGGCGCCGCCAAAGGTGGGCGCCGGCGCCGCCAGCGCTGCGGGGCGTGGAGCCTGCACCGGCTCCGCCTCTGCGGCCATGGCAGCCAGCTCCCGCTGCTCCTCCTGCTGCTGCTCGAAGAAGGGGTCCCCTGGGCGGCACCTGCAGGTGCGCAGGCAGGCAGGCAGGCCAGGCAAGGCAGGCTGGAACTCAGGCTGCTGCCACAGCGCAGGGGAGGCGGTGTTAGCAGGCGGAAGCACGCTGCCGCGCAGCAGGCATGCCGACACTCTGCAGGCTGGCGTGAAGGCCTGGCAGCCCCCAGCCCAGCCAGGCAGCCCCCAGAGCAGAGCAGGCACAAGCCGCAGCCGCGGGAAGCAGCACAGCGAGCAGGCCCGGGGCCGGCACCTGCCCTGCCACCTGCACGCGCGAACACCGCGGGAGCCCAGCACGCACCCAGCGTGCCAGAGGCGGGCAGCAACGCGAGGTGGGCGAGGCAGGCCGGCAGCGGGCGCTGGGACGTCCCTCGCACCTACACCAGAACTTGACGGCATAGTCGGCGCTGCCTGTGGCCAGCAGGTGTCCTGCTGGGTGCCAGGCCGCGGCCCAGATGGAGGCATCATGTGCGCCGCGCACCTCGCCCTGCAGGCGCAGCGGGCAGGGAGCAGCGGCGGAAGCGGCGGCGGCTTGGTGGTGTGCCAGCAGGTTTGGGGTTGCCGGCAGGGGCACCAGTCCGAGGGCGCAGGCTGCTGGTGGCGGCTGCTGGGGTGTGTGGCCCGTCCGCTGCCACACTGGACAGCAGCACACATGATCCGGCTTGCCCCTGCCCCCTGCCTGCCAGAGCCCAGCCTGCAGCACTGCCTCTGGGCTATGCCTGCAGCGGCGCGCGCACCTGCGGCGCCTGCCTGCTGGCGAGCCAGAAGATCATGCTGCCGTCGTGGCCGCCTGCGCAGGCGTGGCAGAAGCGGCAGCGGGGCAGGCGCCGATCAGAACAGCTCTGCTGTTGGCAGCACAGCACAGAATGGGGCAGCCCAAGCATGCAGCCCAGCATACAGCATACAGCAGAAGCAGCACAGCTGCAGCGACAGGATACTAAATTCAAGAAAACAGCGCGGGAGCGGCACGGCGCGGGCCCGGCCCTGCCGCCACGCTCAGCGCAGCACGCACAGCAGGCCGCACCCACCCACCTGACACAAAGAGCTCCTCGTGTATTGGGTGCCAGCTGGCGTGCGTCACGTCGCGGTTGTGCCCCTTGAAGCTGGCCAGCTCGCGCTGCATGCGGATGTCGTACACCTGCGGTACCACATGTACCGGTACCGCATTGGGAGGAAAGACATGCAGGAAAACACACCAGCAGGGGGGCCGCAGGGGAAGGAGGAGGAAAGGAGGCTCTGCCAGCAGGCCCGGCAGCAGCAGCCCAGGCAGAAGCCAACACGCCATCAACAGCGGCAACAATGCATGTGACACACACCCTCGGCCCACCTTGCACGTCTGGTCGCGGCTGGCGGTCAGCACCCAGTTGCCGTTGCCGTTCCACTGGGTCGCCATGATGGTTGCCTGGTGGCCGTGCAGCGTGGACACGTTGCGCCCCGACTTGGGGCACCACAGCTTCACCAGGCTGTCCTTGCTGCCTGCGGCGAGGCAGGCCCAGGGCGGGGCGGGGCCGGGGGGGGCGGCAGATGTGCAGGGCGAAACGTGAGCGGGGAACAGATTGGAATGGTTTGGCAGCTCCCCAGTGTATGCATGCGAGTGGCCATGCCACCCTATCTCATGGTGAAAAAAACGTGCTTCACCACAACAGATGGGTGCAGCGCAGCCAGATGCCAACACGCAGATGGATGCAGCGCCCAGGTGTAGCCTCAACAATATTGTAAATGGTGTCGGCAGCGCTGCCAGTGTATTTGGCCGCGGTCTGAAGTTGCTGCAAGAACATCACCGGCTGCTGGGCGGGGTGCAATCGTCCCACCGTGCAGAGTGCGGCTGTGCGCACAGGATGCGGCGCAAGGAAATCATGCAGAGCGGGGTGTGCCCCTGCCCTCGCCCTCTGCCCACAGATGCCGCAGGCACCCCGTCCCACCCAAACATACAACAAACACCACCTCCCGCGGCGGCGCACCCGACACAAGCAGCGCCTTTGTCGGGTGCCAGTCCACACACTTTACGTCGCCGCCGTGCCCCGCCAGCACCTGCTCTGTGGCCACCCGTGCAAAGTCCCAGACCTGCACGCGCCAGCAGGCACAGCAGCATATCACATAGCACAGCGTGGCACAGCACAGCACAGAGCAGCATAGCGCAGCTGGGCAGGTGCGCACGCAGGCGGTGGCGTGGTGGTGTCAGCGGTGGCGGCAGCAGCAGAAACCAAAGCCACCGGCGCCAGCAGCAGCACCAGCGAGCCTCAGCACTCGCGGCCGCCTGCGCCCACCCGTATCGTGCTGTCGTCGCTGCCGGTGGCGTACTTTAGGTCGCCAGGGGCGAAGCTGAGCTGGCGCACCGCCTCCTTGTGCGCCGACACGTTCTTCACCAGCTCCAGGTTGGTGCGCCAGTACCGTACCTGCACGAGTACGGGGTGGTCCCGCTATCATGGCGGTGCCGTCGAGGTGTGCACGGCGTGTGCGTGTGGCGGCAGCCCGCCCAGAGCAGCACACAGGGGAAGCAACGCCAAGCGAAACGCCAAACCCTGCCTTGCCCTGCCCTGCCCTGCCTCAATACAAAACCCTCCCAAGCAAACACCCACGTTGCCCGCATCGTCCCCCGAGGCCAGGAAGTTTCCGTTGTGGGTGAAAGCCATGGTGCGCACGGGCGTCTCGTGGCTTTGGATGATGGTCTCAAACTGGAAAGAAGAAGCGCCCCACATCGTGAACTCGCCTGCCTGCAGTGTGGGAGGAAGCTGGGAGGAAGCTGGGAGGAAGTTGGGTGTGTGGTGGGTGCGAGCGTGCGGTGTGCACGGCGGGTGGCGGGGAGGCGGGTGTGGGCGTGGGGCGGCAGCGGGTCGGCGGCATGGTGTGGCAGTGTTGGGTAGGAGTGGTCAGGTGTGCCTGGGTGCCTGCCCGGCTCTCATCGGGCCAGCGCACAAGCGCAGGGCCGGCACGGCCCATGCAGCACTGGCTGGCTGCCAGGTGCTGCCGGGGGGCAGCAGGGGCTGCGCCGCTGCGCCGTGCGCCGCAGCCACTCCAGCCGGCGGCAGAGGCGGTGCGGCGCACCCACCTGTGTGCCTGTCAGGCAGCGGCGGCCGTCGGGGGTCCAAGTGGCGGCGTTGATGCTGCTGCGGGTCTGCAGGGAGAGAGGGGTGGGTGGCGGCAGAGCAGGGTGGGGCAGGTGGAGTGGGCAGATGGGAGGGATCATGGCACGAAGCAGGGCATGCGGCGCGGCGCGTAGGTCGGGGCAGGGCAAGTGGTGGGCGGGCCAGGGCAGGCCGGGTGGGCAAGCAGGCGCCGGCACGTCCCAATGCGAGCGGCGGGCGCTACCCTGTGCCGCGCCCATCGCCTGCCGTCTGCCCACGCCCTCCCAGCCGCACCTTGCTAGGTGCCTGCCCCGCAAACTTGATGTTGAAGCTTGTGGCGGGCTGGTGCACGTACGCTATGGGCGGCAGCAGCTGCAAGGCGCCCGCCGCCACCGGCGGCAGCGCGGGCGTGTCGGCAGGGCACCGTATCTGGTAGCGGCGCTGCGGCGAGGAGGAGGGGCAGCAAGGCCGGGCAGCTGCATCAGACGTCGAACCCCAGCCGCAGAATTCTAGTAGGTGTTGCTGAAGCTAGACTGGAAGCCTCCAAAAGCTTAATTCAGCAGGCGAGGGGGCAGCCACACCCCACCTCAAACCACGTGACATAAGGCCCCGCATAGTCGATTGTGCGTCGTGCCACCGTCTTCTGCACCGTCTTCTCGCCCTCCTGCTGCAGCTCGTTGCCCGCGCCAGCTGGGCGCAGCGCCAGCTGGCGGGTGTAGTAGCTGCAGGCGCAGGCAAGGGGCGGCGGCGAGGCGGCGGCGGTGCGGCGGGCGGTGGGGGTGTGCCACTGTCGGCACGACAGCGGGTTGCAACGCATCGCGGGTGATGGCGCTCTTCTCCTCCTCCTGCATGCCCAACACGCTGTTTGGCAAGCTCGGCACCATCGCCACCGAGGTGATCGCACCACTCGCCTCGTGTAGAGCGCCATGGCCCGATCGGAGCCAGGGGCGAGGCCCTGGCGGGTGCCAGGAACGAAAAACAGCGCCAGCCGTCCCCATGCACGGGTTTTCTACCTGCCAGCCGCCTCCGCTCAAGATCGTCGGTTTCAGCGCTGACCCCATCGTCTCGCCCTCCCCAACGCTCCGGCAGCGCATTAGCGCATCTCTGCAACCCCTCTGGGATTGTTTCTGGCACGATCACCGACGCGGCAGGGCGTGCAGCCACCCCCCGCCGCACTCTGGTGCCTGTGGCGCGCTTCTGATGGGCTCTTCCGTTGTCTAGACACACCATGAAGGTGCGCCGGGCCCGCCATCTGGTGCCCCGGCTGGTTTGGCGACCTGTTTGCTCAGCCGCCCTCCTGCCTCCGCCGCGCATCGCGCTACTCACCGCCTGCCACTTGGTGCTGATGCAGGGAAAGACCGTTAGACGTGCTAAGACTGCTTGGGTGAGTGGCAGAGATGGTGACCTAAGCCGCCGCCGCCTGCTCGCCGCCCTCGCCTCTAGGGTCGCAAGGCTGAGGCCGCCCTGTGCCGGCTGCGTGCCTGCCTGTGGGAATGCGCCAGGACAGCCGTCAGCAGCGTTGAGCACCAGCCATCCTGGCAGCAGGCGTCCTGCCTGCCCTCTCAGATGCCGCCGCTGCCTGCGTCGCTCGCTGCTCCGCTCTTTGCTGGCACGCCCTCCCAGCCTTCCTGCCTCTGATGTCACATGTCTAACTGGTCCTGTGCCACCCCTTTGCCACCCCCGCAGGTTTGGAACAAGAAGTACGGCTGCCAGCTCAACACGCATTAAGCGTGCACCCCCTTTTTGGACTCTTTTGCACGGGCAGTCGTCACCAGCCCCCCTTTAGCTCTTTTGTCGCCGCCGTCGCCGCGCTTCCCCTTTTGCCACCCCGGGAAGAGCAGCTCCTACTCCTTTTGGAGCAGCAGTAGTAGCAGGCATGGCGAGCGAAGCAGCAGCGCGCAGCGCGAGCATGGCTGGGCCCCCCCGGCGCAGCCACCACGGCGGCCGCCTCGGCAGCAGCCGCACCCCCACCACCGGCAGCACGCCTGCCCCTAGTTTTGCCGCTCGTACGAGCGGTGGTTTTGTGCACGGCCCCGGCAGCGGCGTCAGCGCGTTTGGCGCGGCCGCCGCCGCGCCGGCCGGCGGCAGCAGCGCGCGGGCTTTTGACCCCCTGCGGCGCGCCCGCCGAGCCCCCCCCTCCGCCACCTCCCCCGCCACCTCCTCCACCCGCCACCGCGCCCTCGCGGCCGCCCCCGCCCCCCGCCGGACCCCGCCCACGGCAGCGCCCCGCCCCGCCGCGGGTGCAGCAGCCTCCCGCGGCGAGGCCTCCACCG